CTAGGCTTAGGTATTATAGCAAGCACATATTACTTATCTTGTCCCAAGCTGAATATTACAATAAATGTATAATACTTGCTTTAATTCCAAGGATGAGGGATTGTGGAGCAAAAATAAGTCGCACGTGAAATATGCAGAGAAATAATCAGCTCCAATAATAACTTTAGAACGGCCAGAAATACTGCAATGACGTAATATTGGTCTAATGATATTTTCATTCTATATAGATGTTACAATAATAAAAAACGTAAAAATACCACAAAGAAATAAAGTGACACATATAATGATACGCCTTCTTTAAAATTGTAACCAGTTATAATGAATTAAAATATCGATCAGTTTTATTTTCATGATAATTAGATGAATATCTTGTGCTAAATACTAAATTGACATTTCTATGGTGAGGCTGTTGATGATTTCAGGGTGTTTTATAATATTAGCCAACAAGACACGAGGTAAATAATAAAGTTATTATTTGATTAGTTAATAAGGACAATTTGGTGAAAATAATTTCCCTTTTGTAGTTTTGTATGAATTTATTCGCGTTAAGGATTTATCTGTTGGTGACTTTTATATTAAAGTACAATTAAATTACATGTTAAAGTTTTTCAAAAAGACAGTGGAAAGAAATGTGGTCGACAGACAAAACAAACATGGATTATAAATATATTTTCGGCTGGCTGTCTGTCCCCGGGGTGCTATTCCTGCGTGCCGCACAGCCCGTCCTCCTCCATATTTGCAGTGACAGGGACTCTTCATCCACATAACAAAACTGCACAGCCCTCTCTTTTGTCCAAGGCACATTTATTGCCATTATTACGTGTCGCACTACCATAATCATTATTACTGATAGCTACTCTTTAGCTATAGCTGCGACCTTTATAAGATAGCACAGGGTTCATTTTTTTAAACGAGTGATTTAATTTCCTCTGCCAAAGCAAACCTTTTAAAATAATGTAATACATATTTCATCGACCTGATTGGCTGATTGAAGTGTATAAAAATATGTTATTTGTGTAAACAACAAAGTATTGTATTAGATACATATAGCAACCACCATATGTCTACCTAACTATTGTCGCACTATGGGACGTGTGTTATTTATTACCGACAATTATTTAATAAATTCCCCTCATATGCTTTTAAAAATATGTTTTATATTTATCTGTATTGTGTGTGTTTACTTACATAAGTGATATAATATTCCCTGCATTCCTTTATCTAGGCGTTATAAAACCTAACCTAATTATTTTAGATGTTTAATTACGTAAATTTGTTATTCTTATTTTAAACATCACTTATAACAATCTCTTACACTGGAATTAAATAATTTGAACTGTACTGTATTTAATTTAACGAATTTTCCCTAATTATCATATTTCTACTTGTGGCAAGTCTATGAAGGGAGCTCTTCAAAAAAAATGTTCAGTTGTTGTATAGTAGTGTGATTGCCATGCTGTTATGTGTAGTCCCTCCACTGATGGCGCGCTGCAGCAGTGGCGCAGCAGAAACGGTATAAAGACAAGAGTGGACTGTGACTCTTTAATTGAAAACTGCTCATCTCCGGAATTAGTTTTTATTGAGCTCATTAGGGAGGTTTTATGGACGACTATGCTAATATACAATAGGGACAGTGAACAATCTGGTCTATAAAATTGTTCTGAAAGAGCCGAGTGTACCAGCTACGTGAAATAAACGTCTTCTCCTTTTTTTTTGAATGATTTTCAGACATTTTATGAGAATCAGATGCTTTGATTCAAGCCAGAAAGTCTTTGGTTTGGACAGTGTTATCATTTTACACGAGGACCAAATGTGAAGTGAGCCTAAACCATCGGGGCATTTAACTGCTCCACTGTTGAATTGCGATCCAGCGGATTGCTCTGGCTTAGCGTCACTGCATATATAAAAACAATGCCCCTTGTGTAGCAGAAACGCGGCGCTGATGTGTCTAGTAACAGGTGGAAGAAGAAGACAGTTGGGGAGGCATAACTGATAGTGTAACTAGGTTCCAGGTTTTGGGTGCGCCCAACAGGACTAATTTTTAAATACCCAGGAAACATTAGAGTTTTCAAAACTGTATTTGCATTGGCTTAGTCTTATAAAGAAGAAAATGAATCTAGAAATTGACAATCATAATAAATGTGTGTATATTTCGCCCAGAATGAACGCTGTAAATCCCAACAGGAGAAACAATCACACCTCCAAACCTGATCTCCAGTGTAAACCTTAGGTTCTGTTGATGTGGGAGCACATACATTTGCATATTACACTGTTAGGTGCACTGCGGTGCCATGATATTTTAATGGCACCCCAACGCACGTAGCTATCACATGTGTGCTGCACCACACTACCTCACATGGTAACCTATTACCATTGTGGTGCAATGCGATTTTAGGAATCAGTCGTACAATTCTTTAAGTGTGATTTAGATGCAGTAGGCAGCCCATTAAAGTTAATGGGCTGCCCTACTGCAACACATCCTGCAGTGCACCTGTAATGGAGCCATAGGAAACCATTATAGCAAAAAAAAAAAAAAATCAAGGGAAATGTATCAAAACTGGGACATAATCTGGAGCAATTGCCCATAACCAACCATCGTCTTTCTTTAATTTTCAAAGCTAACTGTACTAACTGAAGAGAGAAGCTGATTGGATGCCATGGGCAACTGCTCCAGATTCTGTCTGCTTCAAGTTTGATAAACTCCACCTTTGCATTCTGGTGACTGTATGGGGTTAATACCACCTATGATAATATTCAGTATATGAATTCCTTTATTGTATTTCATGTGTCTTTATTTATATTACTTTCCACATTTACATACAGGCCAGCAAAAAGGGACATCGGCAGGGGTTAGGAAAAATAATATAACACTGCCTGAAGGAAGGGGTGCCTACAACTGTCAGCAGTGCTGGAAAAGGTCCTATTGCACCCAAGCCAAAAAGGCCAAAGTATCCCCCCCATGAGCCAGGAATGACCTCAGCAGCATAGATTGCAGGCCCTGCCCTTTATGTGTCCCCTCCTGCTGAGGTGTCAAAGGTAGCCAACTCTTCTGCTTACCCATAAGCCCGGCCTTAACAATCAGCTTTATTTTTTATATGGTTTAATAATTTTTCCCAAAAACTTTCCAGCTGACAATACTCTGCCGGTCTCCTTTTACAAAAGTTGAGTTCCAGTAAGTCTAGCTTAAATGAACCCAATTAACCTTTAACCATTGTTAAAGCTGAATTCCAAGGATAAGTAAAATCCCAGAGCTCAGTTTTAAAGCGTAGTTCCACTTTTGCCATCAAATTTGAGAAATCCCCTTCATATGTTTTTTTATGTGTATCTGTTCACACAGCATAGAAAAAAAGTATTTAAAAAAAATATTTTTCTTACCTTTAGATGTTTCTTTGTTGAAGGCCTATGTGCAGATTCCAGGCTATTCTAAGCAGTCTTAAAGTGGAAATAGAGGAACAAACTGAGGGACAGAGTGAGCTTCCTCTCAATAACATACAATAGTTATAAGTCTTTAACCCTTTGTATGGACAAATCGTATTCAAATTTAGTTTACAAATAATAATGTTATATAAATCCTGTATAATAATAATAATAATAATAATAATAATAATAATGCCATC